TTTTGTGCCCAAAGGAAGCCTACATCGCGATAGTTGCATCAAAGATAGCGAATATGACTCGAAGTTTGAATTTTGTCAAGAATTAATGTGGCTTCCCGGGCTGCATTATCTTCATCATATGTGAAGCAAATCCATTTTTCATTGTGATCATAAGCCAAGCATGTTCTTCTCAACAGTAGGATGAGTGCCTGTTTTAAGTGATTTTGGTTTTACCTAGGCTACTATCAGGACTCCAAACTGTCTCAGAATCAATTCAGCTCAATTGGGAGTTCTTGAGATAAAAAAAAAAAACAAAAGTAAAAAACACGATAAGAATACAAAAACATATTTGGTGATGCTTAGTCATACTCTTCCGCTTCTCTTCCTAAATCCTAGAAAGGAGTCCTTGATCTTCTGCAGTTTGTTCACAACAACACTCATCTGTAGTCGTTCCCTTGGTGATGGAGTAGAGCATGACAGTCCAATTTTCATCACTGATACCAAGCATTCCCCATTTGATTTCTACTAGGAGTGCATTGGGGATCATCATCCTTGATTATTGCTCTTTCTTCTTCGTCGTCTTCATTCTCGTCTAAGTTATCTTCTTCTTCAGCCAAGAGCAATGATGGGTCTACTACCTCCATGACATTTTCAGGCAAAGCCATTGCCACCAACTGGGGAAGGTTTAGACCATTTGTGAAGATGTCTTCTGTTGGTCTTTTACCGGTGAATACCTCTAGCAAGAGTATCCCATAGCTGTAAACATCACCTAGTGTGGAGACTTGGCCACCCATAACATACTCTGCAATTTCATAATGAACTTTCCTGAGGATATTGAACCATATATTCTTTCAAGGGAAGACTACGGTATCAAAAAGTTATTTTTTGTTATCATGATGAAAGTTACAACTCAGACAAATGTTAGAACCAATCCTTCCTAACATTTTCTGAGTCGTGAGTCGTTGAGTCCTAACCGATGTTTTGCGTTGTAACTTAACTACAATAGAATTGTAACTAATCCTATTGCGTCATATAATCGAATTCCAAAGGAAATGCAAAAAGTTAATCTATTGTAGTTTAGGAATTCCAAAGGCAATGCAAAAAGATGATCTAGTGTTGGTCACACAAAGCTGCCTCTTTAAATTCTGCAGGCACATGGAATTTAGACACAATTGGTTCTTGTTTGGAGAAACCTCTATTTTAACTAGTCAGGTAACTTTGCAGAAACCTTAATATTATAGATACAGTCAAGGTAACCAAAAATAAAGACCAAGTAAAATCGATGGAAAACCTACCTGGAGGTATGTACCCGACAGAACCCTTTAGCCCAATTGACATGGTCTGATTTTTGGAGGGATTGTTTGGTGTTTCCAGTAGGAATCTTGCCAATCCAAAGTCACCAACATGAGCCGTCATATCCTCATCAAGGAGTACATTACTTGGCTTTAGATCACAATGAACAATTGGTGTTTCACAATGGTGATGGAGATAATCCAATGCAGAGGCAACATCAATAGCTATGTTTAGTCTCTGAATGATGCTCAAATTCTTGGTATTACGCTGCTCACCATCGTTTGGATGCAGCCAAAAGTCTAGGCTTCCATTGGACATGAACTCGAAAATTAGACATTTGAAGTCATTACCTTGATAATCGACGCTTGAACAGGCAGTGATGATCTTGAGGAGGTTACGGTGCCTCATACTTTTCAGAGCTTTGCATTCATGTATGAAACTCTTGGAAGCTCCTTGTTGTTCAAGGTTTAATACTTTTATTGCCACCACTGAACCATCACCAGATAAAACTCCTTTGTAGACAGAGCCAAAACTGCCAGAACCGATCAAATTGTCGATTGAAAATCCATTTGTTGATTTAATAATTTCTGGATACGAAATACCTGATTGCCAATCCGTGGTGGAGGATGCTGTTAAAAGTTCTGTTTTCGGCTTCTTTATCATACGCCAAGCAGCAAAGGAACACAACAATATTACTATAAGTATCGATACAGTTACTGGGATTACTACTTGCAGGGAAAGGAGTTTTGCTGATGAGTGGGAGTTATCTTGAGAGCATGCAGGCAAATGTAGTTCCGGGACACCTCCACATAATTCATCATTTTCCAGGATGGAAATTGCACTAGCATTTGCAAAGATGCCTTCCCTTGACACTTCGCCATTGAAATTATTGAATGAAAGATCGAGTTTCTTGAGAGAAGAAAGCTTTCCCAAAATTCTGGAATCTGTCCAGAAAAGTTATTATGTGAAAAATCAATCACTTGTAGCCCTCTCAATGTTTTCAAAGATTCAGGAATGGTTCCTTGAAGCAAATTATTCTTCACAAGCAGGCGCTCCAAACTAAGACAGGTGCTGAGTGTGCTGGGAATTTCACCTGATAATCTGTTATCTGAAACATCTAGCTCCATGAGGTTTCTCAACTTGCCAACTTCCATAGGCAGGGAACCAGTCAAAAAGTTATGAGACATTGGCAAAGAAATGGAAAGGGAAGAGATAGCAATGACCTCTTTCGGTATTGTGCCACTGAGTTTGTTACTACTAATGTTCAACTGCTCCAGGTTTAGGCATTTTCCTAGGCTTGGAGGAATGGTTCCTTCTAGTCCATTCTCCTCCATAAAGAGCATGGTTAATGATGTTAAGTTACCAAGGGAGGATGGAATTGGCCCAGACAAATTGTTACCATTCAAATCCAGGCGCCCCAACTGTTGAAGTTTTCCCACAGCATCAGGGACTTTGTCAGTTAGAAAGTTCCTTTCCAGGCCTAGAACTGTCAAGTTGAAAAGGTTCCCAATTTCGTAGGGAATGTTTCCGTGTAACAAATTGTTGCCAAGAGTAAGTATTTTGAGGCTGGTCGAAAGGTTAGCTATGGAGTTGGGCAACTCGCCTCCAAATTGATTTATAGCCAAGCCCAACACCTCCAGTCTAGTGCAATTTCTTAAGAAAGTCAGCAGGTCGCCAATATCCCCCTTTCCTAGAATATTATCATCAAAGTTAATTCTGTATATAACTTGTAACCTTCCAAGATTCGTTGGCACAGTCCCAGTAAGACTTTTCAGCGAAATCGAGCACTTGAAGGCTGGAAGCATTTGATAATGAAACTGGAATTGGGCCAGTGAAATTGTTTACACCCCCGGCAAATACCTCAAGATTGGAAGAGTGAAGCCAACATTTGATGGGAGTTGCCGTGTAACTGGTTCTGAGCAAAAACAAAGTAGAAAATGGAAGAAATATTATAAATTGATGGAGGAATCGTACCAGAGAGATCATTTCCATAAACTTGAAAAATTTTAAGGCTTGAAAGGCTTCCTAATTCATTAGGAATATTTCCTTGCAGATTGTTCGGGCAAGTGAAATAGCAGAAGGGAGGAAAAGTTCCCTATCCAAGCTGGGATACCGCCTGTAAGATTGTTGAGGCTAAGACCAATGATAACAATTTTGACAGTGAGCTGAGCTGGTCTGGAATCTGCCCAACAAGCTCATTATATACTAAATCAAGCACTGTAAGTTCTGTGCAGTGAGTGATATTAGTCGGAATACGTCCAACAAAGGAATTGTAAGTGAAATTGAGATGTTGTAGGTGTATTAAGCGTCCCATTTCTTGCGGAATTGCACCATTGAAGCTATTGTTTCGAAGGTTGATTCCAGTTAGAAATGTCAGGTTGCCTATGGAGGGTGGTATGGAACCAACCAACCTTGTGACTCCAAGTTCAGAATCATGACTCTCCCACTAGAGGGACTGCATGTAACACCTACCCACTTGCAGAAATGAAGAGAATCATTCCATGAGCTTATAATTTGAAGTGGATCCTCAGTTATCCGATTCTTGAAGTCGAGCAAAGCTTGACCATCTGTCTCATTACTAAAAGTTGCTGATTCAAAACCTGAGATCATGACCAACAGAAGACTCCCAAGGAGGATACTTGATGAGAAACACCTGGAATTCAAACAAGAAAACTCCATTCTTTTGGCAATACTGAAAGAATGTAAGGGGCTCAAGACATGGACTAAATTTAAAAGCAAGCTAACAAAACTAGCTCAGAAGAGAAAGCCACATATTGAAGACGAATTTAATTGTTGCCGTGAATGAGTTGATCTAATTGACAGCATAATATAGACTTTTGGAAGGAATATAAGAGAGTGGTCTAAAGGTGGATGGTTGAGTTGAACTTTGGATTTGTTGATTAGCTGGTCCAGTTTTTGGTATTACACCTTCTCATTTCGCCCAATAAAAACAAGACAAGTAATTAAAATTGTATTTATGTTATTATTTTCATGATCAACACCCTCGAACAAATCAAACAAAGATCTATGATTGCAATTATTTTTCAATATAACGCTGCATATCCTCGTTATGGAAAGATTATCATAGATTTTAGCTAAGTATTGAACATCATGGATAGTACCATATAACACTCCCAAATGGATTCGTCCTAACTTAGATATTTTATTTAACATGTAGTTTTGGCATATAAGATGACATGATATACACAACTTGTTGAAAAGTGTGCAGAAGTCTCGACTTTTCTCGGCTAGAATTGTTGTTGGCCATAAGAAATTAAAGCCTTGGCCACTGAAGTCATTAAAGCATGACATTGCATTAAATAAAAGAATGACTTTTTGTGGCATGAAGGCTTGACAAACATATGAAGGCTTTTCTCGAGCATTGCTCAGTCTTGATCAACATTCTACTAGCTTGAGCACCTTTGATGATGACCAGGAATGAGTTTTTCAGATCGCTTGAGCGGTTTTTGTCCAAGGTGAAAAAATTGTTGAAAAGTGGGCAGCAATATTGACTTTTCTCAGCTAGAATCGTTGTTGGCCATAAGAAGTTAAAGCATTGGCCACTGTAGTCATTTGTGCATGACAAATTTGATGCAGCTGTGAACAAATGAGGTTTGCACATGGATGTGCAGATCTGGCTTCTACATGCACAAATCAGATCTATTGTCCACTTCTCCACACAATGCCCTATACAAAGGGATGTTCGAACATGGCTCTAGGCATTGGAAAATCAGAAGCAATCTCCAGTGTTTATAGTGTAGAGAGTTGCATGGTATCTGAGAGTTAAGTAACATTAATGAGATCATAGTGTATTCTCTCTAATTGAAATGAGAATTTGAAAGGCAAAAAATAATTATTCTTGTATTGTTAACGTATGCAATAGACAAACCACGTAAACTAAATTTTAAGAAGGATCAAAATAATTCAATTTATCATTAAAAAAATTTAAGATTCAAATATGAACAATTAACAAAATCATCACAACTATAACAAATTGATAAGTAGGATTTTCAGTTTCTGAGACACAAACCTCAGTATATTAATGTTATTTAGGCATCACATACTCAGGAGATGCATAGTTTTTTTTTGGTTCAACAGTCTAGGTTATTTAAGTCAATTTACGTGCAATTTGACTAATTTCCTCTAGGTGCGGTCAAAGACAGGTCATCCACGCTAGGACTAAGAATTCACGAGAGATAAATCCGTCATGACCTGACTCTAAAGGACTGTCCAGATTCCAATTTAGAATATTTGAATTTACAGCTCGTCATTGATTCACTATTACCACTTGAGCTACCTCTTGGGACTAAGCAATGACGAATTTATCTCTCATAAATTTTCTAATAAGTATGAATATTTTTTAAATTTCTATAATAACAAGAGTTTCGTGCAAATAATTGTAATGTAGTTGAAATGACTATTGCTTAGGTTAATTATAGATGTGATTTAGAAGTGACTTGAGGTTGAGGGGATCTATGCCTATTGAATGGTTATGGTATGCAGGTATGCATTTCACTCAACGAGGCAAACGTTAAGCCATCAACGTAATGTCACAAAATAATATAAAATATGATAAATTTTAATAAATTTATTCAAAGGTTATAAATAGACTCATCTAACGGCTACCAACATCCCTATCAAATAGACTCATGCACAAATTAGTTTGCACACCACCTGTCAAGTTAGTAGTACAAAATGCACTAAATAAATATAGGGAGAGAGAAGACAAGGTTTATAATGGTTTGGTCAATGTGACCTATGTTCACTTTGAATGGCTAGGATCGCTAGGTATTTTATTAACTCAAGTGTGAAGGGAGATCAGAGAGTTATAAACTATGAGACGAAAAGGAGAGTTGTGCTCAACTGAGTATGATGATGCCCCTTAGTGTTGGCGGGGCTTACAATTTATAGTCGTCTCATAACGTATAGTAATTGAATAGCTAGTCTGGCGGTCATAACGGATTGAGGTGATTGAATAGTAATTAAATAGCTGATCTAGCGGAGGTGGAGGTGGAGGTGGCAGCCTCTTCTTAACAGGCGAGACAGTTACAATACTCTCCATACGACTTGGTCAAAGGATGAGGTGAGAGTTGACTCTCTCCAAGGCGGCGAAGATGAGGTTCTTGGGTGACCCTTACTTCAAGGTGACTAGGAAGAGACTCTTGGATGACCCTTACTCCGAGGTGGCTAGTAGAAGACTCTTAGATGACCCTGTGTGCTTCTTGATAATGTAGCTCATTGAGTTTGATAAGATTGATCGGGTTGACCACATTGAGCTAGATTTGTTGGATCTTTTAGAGATGGGCTATGAACTCGAACCAGGCTTATAATTTGAGCTAGGCCCTTGGGCTTGGCCTATCATTTGTCACTCAATGCCTTGCGTCTAACGAAACTTGGAAAGGAGAACATTCAGTTTGAGTTTGAATTTTCGGCTGACCGACATAACTGAAAAAACTTCAGGAGGCGAAAATATGTGCTTCTAGGCCTTTTTTGGGCTTTTAACAACATCAATCATAGCCAAAGACTATGAGTATAGTAGGTGATTCACACTTTTTAGTGGTTTGAATTATATTATATTGTACACCAAAGTATAAGTGGTCAAATTATAATTTTCTCGATTTTAAGTCCAAGTATCGATCCCACAAAGAGTTTAGTAATTTAGACTATAAAATAAAATAAATAAAAAAATTAAAAGTGTTGTTTGAAACAGAATATTGTTTTATAGCTTGTGGAGTGATCTTAGTTTGATAACTAGTTTATTTAAATAAAAGCAATGCGGAAATAAAGTGCAGAGATAATAAAATGCGTAAATAAAACAGATTAATGACAGAAATAATAAAGTGCGTAAGTAAATGCGTTAGCAACAAGAATATAAAAGATACCCTTCAGTTTAAGGGTCCCATATGCATTATATTGGTTAGATACTGGAATGCTACCTCACAACAATTAACTCCCATGTTACTGGAAAGTCAACCGGCAGGTCTGATGTAAATAAACCATAACACAACTGCTTCTTAAACTACACTAGGTATAGATGTACCAGTTAAACAGCCTCAACGTTTCGGTGGACGCAAAGTCATACTGATAGGAACATCGTGGTTGTTAGACTGTCATAATAATTATATATAATAATAATCAACCCCAATAATCCAAAAGGACAAGTCATTCATGAGGATCATTTAAGTTTGTACCACACATCAGTCAACTTCCTCAGCATTTCGGTGGAAGCAAAGTCATACCGATATAAACGTCGTGGTTGTTAGACTGGCGGGTCTTATGATATACTGATGATATAATCCAAGGCACAGCACCAGAATTATACACATCACTATATCACGCATTAAGCATATAATACATATATAAATAAACGTATAAATAAAACATCAGCATTTTCATAATCTAAACAGTAATATACATATGTTCCCCTCACACTGGGGGGTATAAACGACTACTCACGCTCCATTGCTACAGACAAGCAAGAAGTGTGGGTAGTATTCATTACAATTAAAATAAAACTTCTTTCACAAGGAACAATTGAAACACAACCACCCTTAATATCATTCAAGACAAAAAAAAGTGGCGGCAGTTCAACCATCCGAATAGAAAGATATTTCAGAAATGTAGAAATACAGAGTAACAAACGGACCAACTTTCAAAGGCTTTTTCTTTCTCTCTTTGATGGCCGGCTAGCTTTCTTGGTAGGAAGGAAATTTTTTCTTGAAATGGTATTGTGAAGGCTTAGAGTACTTGGAGTGGAATGTTTCAAGTCTCTTGAAGAATGAAGGCAAGACCCCTATTTATAGGGAAGAGTGAAATTTCGGCCAAGGAGGGGTCCTAACCCCCTTCTCACCTTTTAGGAATGTTGATCCTTGCAGCAGAGCTAGATATCGCGGTCTTAGGCTTCCACTTGTCGCGTTCTGGAGCTTCCATGTGTCGGGGGTCCTAACCCCTACCTTAACCTTCCTAAAGGTTAAGCCTTGTAGTAGTGCAAGGTGTCTTCTTCTAGAGCTACCACTTGTTGCCTTTTGATTTGTCCATGATTCTTTATTACACCTTAGTCCTTCATAGTTTCAACTCTTGCAAAATTGCATTGTATTTCCCATTATTTCTGCATTTGACCCTGAAATTTACACATAAAGTATTAAAAACTTTACTTTGCACACAAACTATAATTCATAATGTTTAGCGATTTTATCTTACAAAATTGATCACTTAATTATTTTATTTACACACTAATTAGGGTTAATCACACCCCTCAACTTAAACTTTACTAGTCCCTAGTAAATATAGATTATAACACAAAATAAAACATAAATAGAAGTAAAATCATTTTCGTAGATTTTTTCACGATTGCATTTAGCATATGCAATAAGCCGTTAAACCCCTAGGTGATCCCTAGTGGACGAGTTTTGTCTCGTGAAGGTTTTCAGTGAAGCTACCTACAAACTTCAGTAGTTAGGAGTTTATAATTCATATTTTTCACAAAGATAATTAAATCAATATTCTTTCTGTCTTGCTAGAATAGTTCCTTTTTCTGATCACTATAAGAGTAACACACGTTAGTTGTAACATTATCTATATATTTTTATACAAACTTGTGTGTGTGATGATTTCTTTTGTTTCAAAAATCACTCAAGAAATATTACCCTCTTT